GCCAGCGCAGCCCCGTCTCTCAGCAGGCAGCTGCCTCACGCCCAGTCCATGTGCGGAAACCTCTTTGTCGTGGCAGCTAATGAGCAGATTGTATTTCACAGCGCCATGGCCCCGCGCGGCTACGGCCAGCGGCTTTCATCTCCCTGATGGCTCCCACGGGAAAGGAGCTGACGCTGCTCCGCAGAGCGGGTCACGGTCCGGTCTCGCTGGGCTTTTTGGTGTTTGCAGCTTTTAAACCCTCTGTCAGTTTGCACCTGCCTGTGGATCTTTTAAAGTACAGGAGTAGAGAGAACAGGGTTGGGGAAGCACCCACTGGAGTCTGTGCAGAAACACAGCGGTGGGACGCAGGAAACACATAAACACTGAAACACATGGGAGAGCAAGGAAACAGCCAGGAGGTGGGTGGCACTCAACTTGTTGGGAGGGTTATCTTTAAAACAACAGCAAAATCCATTTTGAAGATCTCCATTGTGTTTAACAGCCTGGGATTTATTTCTCAAACTCCTTCCCTGGCTTGAATCCCACTCCTAACTGCATGCCTGCTCCAGCCGCTCTAGGGCCACTGTCCCTGCTGTGTCAGGAGAGCTGGCCATGGCCAGCTGGCCAGCAAGAGCTCTGCTGCCCTCGCTGTGCTGGCAGAGCTGTCCCGCATCTGTCCAGCCAGGAGCAACCAGAGGGGGAACTGAGGCTCTAGGAAGGGGGGATATGTAGCTTGGCCAGAGGAACTGGCTCTTCAGAAGAAATCCATCAAGCTCTTGCCCCAGGATCAGATTCATCTCAAACAAAGTTCAAAGCCCCCCAGGCCCCTCTCCAGCCCAAGGCCCCAGAGCTGGCAGGTACGCTTGCCGGAGGGGGGTGCCAGGCCAGAGTGCTCCGGGAGATGGCCAGAGCAGCACAGGCAGGGGATCGTGCTCTCCCCCCCCCCAGTTTGCCCTCCTGAGCCACTCCCAGGCCATGACAAGGGGCTTAGCACAGATATCACGCTGCAGACACCTCCCATGTCCTCTCCTCGGGGATGCTGTCGTAGGGATGCTGTTTTCACCAGCTGAGTAGGCAGAGCCGACCAAGACACAGCTCCCTCAGCCTCTGTCCCCCTCCAGCCACCCGCCGAGGTCCCAGAGCAGTGTCCGAGGTAGGTTCCCAGCGGCAGGGTCGTGCACCTCTCCAACACGGGTCCATGGCCCGCTGGCAGTGTCTACCAGGTCATGGACCCATAAATCCCTTCCAAGGGAGATGCAGAGCCAGCCGCTCTGCACGGCTCTCCACTAACAAGGCGGGGTATTTACTAGCCCCCTCAAAAAAGATGAAAAGGAAACCTGCTACTTTTAACAGAGTTTTTCATATGGTTTCTTTATCAGCACCATGTGTGCTGGGAGTCTCCCCTTGCCCAGGCGTTTCTGAAGAGCGAGGGGTCCTGCGGGGCACTGGTGAGGAAGGCTGCTCCCTGTGAAGCTGGGAATGCTCTTCACCTCAGTTTCTAGAGATCTGAATTTGGGTGCTGAGGCTCCAGCCTGGCTTCCCCCAGGTCAGCGCACCACTACCGATCTGGCTACCCACCCTGTGCCATGCATGGTCCTGCCACATCTCTCCCTCCAACTCCACAGCCTGCACTGGCACCTGCAGTGGCACCAGCCTCCCTCCCTCCTGTGCCACCGACCCCAGGCACTGGATGAAGTTTCAGCTACAGAGGCAACGTTCTCCCATCTGCCTCCAACATGTTGCATTTGCCGTGAACTAAGGTCTCCTATTAATACTGCAAGAAACAGATCTGGAAAAATTCTTTTTCAAGGCCACAAGGAGAGAAAACTCTGCACAAAGGAGTGGGGAGAAGCAAGAGCCAATGCAACGCCCCCAGGCAGACCTACCGGCAAGGGGTTGAAGTTCTGGTCCACCAGGTGGTTGTGGCCGTGGTCGAGGAAGGAGTGCCGCACCACCACGTCGATGCCCCGGCTGGCCAGCAAGCCCAGTGTGTTCAGCCCCCTGAGGATGGAGGGAGCAGAGTCAGGCCACTGCAGGGGGACCCCTTGGCCCCAGCGGCACAGCTGTGCTCCAGCACACGGCATTGCTCCTGTGCCCCTGACCTGGCACCTACTCCCAGCACCTGGGCTGAAGCCTTCAGATGGTTTCGTGTGTTGGCTGTCGATCGGCTCCCACCATCCCCACCCCAGCAAGCCTGCATGCCTCTGCCCCTGCTGCGGCCACCTCTGTCCCAGCTGTGTCCACCTTCACGTCCTGACACCGTGCCCAAGCCCCTGCGTACACCCCAGCGTTGCCGCCCTGTACCCAAAGCCTGGGGTGCCCCCTAGTCTGCTAGCACCCTGCACCCACCATCTCGGCAGTAGGGACCGAAGCATCACAGTGGCCTGTCTCCTCACATCCCTCGGGAAAAGCCTTGAATCCTTGCAGCCTGTCACAGCCCAGATATCCCAGGGATGTCCCTGCGCCTCACCGCAAAGCCCAAATAATTCTCCTCCGTCTTTCATGATCATGGCCAGCTCTGCATATGTGGTCTGGGGCTTGGCAGCAGGATGCCCATGCCACTGAGCTGTGCCAGCAAACAAGCCCCAGGAGCCAGGAACGGTTGTGGCTTTGAAGAAGGAGAGAAAATGGTTTCCAGAGCAGGGTCCTGCCAAGTGCTTCCCTGGGCAGGTGCCCCAGTAGTGAATGCATGCAAGGACACGTGGCTGTGGCCTGAACCAAAAACGCAGAGCAGGAGAAGGCCAGGGTGATCCTGAGCTGCTGAGCGAGGGAAGCTTGTCAGAATGCCAGCCCTGGATCTTGGAGCTGGCATGCCTGGATCGCATCTCCCCTTCCATGCCCATGCCCTGCGGGCACACTGTGGGTAACCGTGTGGGATCTCGAGATGTCCCTTCCTTGCTCTGCTTCTCTGGCTATGCCAGAGACTGGGTCACCTACAGGAAAGCATAGCTGAGGAGGGATAACAGGGATGCTATGGAGAAAGTAGCAGTGTCCAGGCTGCAGGGGGAGTACCGAGGGGGGCACAGGCGGGGTCTCTGGGCACAGAGCTGGCCTTCTCCCAGCTGCAGCGGCTTTGCAGCACCTGAGCCCGCAGAGCCCATGGGATGGCAGTGCCCTGTTGCCAGCGAGCTGGTGTAACTCACAGGAACCCGGCCGCATAGGAATCGGAGAGGTTGTTCATGCCTCCAGCTGAGGTCGCGCCAACGCCTTCCAGCCAGATCTTCTTCCCTGGCGTGTATGTGTTCACAACCTGTGTGGGACATAAAAGCAGCCAAAACAACTCTAATGAACCTATGATTTAAAGCCAAGGCAGACATCTCCTGTGCTACACTCCAGGAAGGCTTATGAAGACCTTCTGTAATGCCACTGCTGGGCAGCCTGTCTGGCCCTGGCACGGTCACTGGGTGTATTCACCATGTCTGAGCCGTGGGTGACAAGGTCCTCGCCCTTCTGTCGCTGCCACATGTCCTGGACCTGCTCCAAACAGGACCTCCCAAAGATGCTCTCACGCTCCCAAATCCAGGCCCTGCTCTCTCCCTGTGGTCTCCCCACACACTCCGTTCTGCAGCCTGTGCTGCCTTGCCATCTCAGCTATCCATGCCCCACGGACGGTGGCTGCCAGCCACAGGGAGCACCCGAGGCATGATGGCTCTGCAGCGTGGGAGCCCTGGCACGCAATCTGGAGCCACATAGAGGGATGGTGGGCACCCGAGAAGAAAGCAGTAGATGCCCCCATCTACTGGGGGCAGAGCGGGCAGAGCCAGACCCATGGCTGAGCTGGGGCTGCTTCACCATCCAAGGAGTCCCTGGCACAGGCAGGATGTGCCGGTCCGAGCCTGCTGGCCCACCGATCACAAGGCTCCAGCCAGCAGCGCAGACACCTGTGAGATGCCAGGTGGGACAGGAGGGCTTGGATGGCTGGAGCTGCCCGCTCCCAGCACAAGCAACCTTCAGCATGGCACAACTTCCCGTCCTCTCTCCTGCAATCCTGCTTCTCCAGGCTGGGTGATGAGCTCCTGTGACCAGATGTCTGCAAACCCAGCAGCCCGAGGAGCGCTCCACGCTGCCTGATGGATCCTGCCCCATTAGTGAGGAGTGCTGGAATGTGCTGGATGGACTGGGATCCCTCAAAGACGTTAAATACGCCAGCTCTGGGCTGCCTCCCACTCACAGCCTGTGAGAATCGACACCCCTAACTGAAGCCCCAGAGGTGTTGGCATCCTGCCTGTAATTATCTAAGCCCGCCACCTTCCCCCGTCGGAGAGGAAGCAATAAAACAGGGAAATGGACAAGCCCAGCTGCTCTAATCAGCCCCGGCAGGATGCACGGACTCAAAGCCAAGCTGGAGGCTATTAGCACCCAGCGTTGTGCTTTTCCTCAGCCACACTGGCATTCCCGGGAGAGCTCTTCCCCAGCCCTGCCCCATGTAGACCAAATCCTGCACTGTGGGTGTGAGGGTTCCCCCAACCTGTGCCGATGGCACCTCCTTGCTGCTGCTGGTCTGGGATCCCATCCATCATGAGGTTCGGTGAGCTCCTCGGGTTGGTGTCCTTTCCTGCTGGGGATGTCACCACCCAGCTGTCTACAGCTGGGACAGCAAACACCTTCCCAGCCATCCCCGCTGTCCATGCCCACCCTGAGGGCTTCTGCTCCCTTCCCAGCAGGTCCCCAACCTGCATCAGAGGTGGGACACATGCCACCACTTTTGGTGGGGTTGTGTCCCCCCCAGCAGGGGCAGGACTGGCCCAGTGTCTCTCACTTGCCCCTGCGCTGATCCCACCAGTCACCTTGCCATGCCTCCCCGCAGCAGGAGGATCATCCACACGTGTGGATGATTCCCAGCTTGTGCTGGAAGACTTGGCGAGTAGCTCCTCTCTGCCAGTTTTGCTGTGCCGACCCTCGTATCCCCTTTCCCAGGACTGCTGAGTTGTTTACTCATCCTATGGTTTCTCCCTGCAAGAATTACAACTGTAACGGTGACTGGTATGGTATGAAAACCTAGACAAGACAGACAGACAGACATCTCCTCTAGTCCCTAAAGCCTTCCCCACTTACTAGGTGTTCCTTATTTGCTGTTGGACTGACAGCTGAGTGCACCGGTCACAGCCCTTGCCTAGGCATCAGCCAAAGCGGGGGGACCCTGTGAAGCCCCTGTCCCCTCCTCAGTCACCGGAGATGCGAGCCAGGTCCCCTTGAGCTGCAGGGAGCGCAGGGCTCGCTGCAGGCTGCACCAGCCAGGCAGAGCCGTGGGCTCTGACACAGCGCGCCAGCAACAGCTGGGTTTTATAACACAGTCAGAACACGATCATCAGGGAAAAAAACAACAGTTGTTCACAAATGATCATGATTCTCCACTAGTGAAAATCACCTTGGAATTGCAACTGTCACAGCTTTGCAAGTTGAGAAAGAGGGGCAAGACACCGCAGCAGCAGACCCCTCCGGAGCAGGCACCGCACCTGCCCTGCTCTGGCTCGTTTGATACCTCCTGGTCGCTCCCTCCTGTCCTCGGGAGCAAGTTTCAGGAATAGATGGATGGGAGACTGGAGAGTAAGCTGCTTTAGAAAGGCTTTACAGCACGCTGCTCACCCCTGTCCCTTGCATCCAGCCCGTGTCCCGGCACATCTGCACAGCCCACGCTATGCTGCAGCCCCTAGCCGCTTCCCTCCCAATCCGCTGCACGTCCCACCCCGGGAGCGGGTACCGTGCTGCCCGGACTTTCCCCCCAGCCCCTGGGTAAGGGCTGGCCGTGTTTGGGCTGGGAGCCCCCTCCATCCCTGCCCCACACCAGCTCCCCTGGCAGCGTGCTGGTGCTGAGGCCAGAGCCCCAGCCACGAGCTGTGCCAAGGCTGGGTACCACGGGCACGGTGCCCCCTCGCCAACTCTTTGCACTCACGCACTTTCTGGATTTTCCTGATCTGGTCAGAGAGTGTGTCTAATAGGCGCGTTTTCAGGAAGTCCGTCACTTTGGCCACTCGGCCGTCAATGTAGTAACTGGGAGGAAAAGAAGAAGACAAGGATCAGACAGCTGGGAGTAGCTCTGCCCTGAACTGCGTCCTCCCATCCCGCTGCTGCCCTGCGCCAAGAAAACTCTGCTGTGGGGCAGGGCAGTCCCTGCTGGCACCCTGCCCTGCCCTGGCCCTCGGGTCACGCCTGTGTCTGGCAGATGCTTTCAGTCTCCAAAACAGGGCGTGAGGTGGATGCACCCCCAGTGCTGAGCATCCTGCACTGCAGAAACACTGGGAAGTTTTTGCACTTGTTTAACTATTGCTGGTAAAATGCTGGGAGCAAAACACCTCCTTACAAAGGCTTTCCAGCACCCTCTGCACTGATCTCATGGAGACACCATGGAAAGAGATGCTCCAACACAATGCCTGTGATAGCAGCGCCTGGGCTCCACCACCAAGGAGATTTTGGGAGATCTTCTGCTCACCTGGCTAGTCCTCCTGTCTTAGAGACACCCTGTTTCCAAAAGGTAGATAAGCTAGTCAGCCCTGGGCCCAGTATCATCGCTACTGGAAGGATTGCTCACATGAGATGGCAAAACGGAAGACGCACATCTAATGGTGGAACTGAAGGGCTCCTTAGCTGCAGAAGGACACTACACAGACACTAGGGAGGAGAATGGTCCCAAGCAGCAAACACCCTCTGAGCCACACCAGACATTGCTGCAGTAAACACCCAGGAGGGGATGGGAGAAGCTGCCCGCGGTCCCAGCCCTGGGAATAACCGCATCGTTCTGCCCAGGCGGTGGGATGCTCTCCCTGCAATGGCTGGTCTGCAGCGGGGACTGTACAGAGCCTCTTCTGGTCTGAGAACCGGAACTGCTCATGGATGTCCTGCTGCCATAACAACCCTCCAGGATAAGCCCTGGTGGTGTTTCTGAGCCACGATTAGTGACAGGCTGAGGACCTATGGCACCAGAGCAAGCCCTGATCCCAGCACCCCTGAACCACCTTCACCTTCCTTGCTCACTCTCCCAGCAAAATCCACAGCTGAATCCCCCACTCCAGAAATGCTGTGGCTGTTACCTCCAGGAGAAGCCCTGCTCTCACAAAAATCCCTATGCCCTGCAATGCCAGGGAGCATTTCCCATGCAGAGGGCTGATTCCTGCTCTCCATGTGCTTGCTTATATAAAATACAGCTATGGTGTTGCCAATCACGATGTGAATCATCTGTCTCCAAGTGTGGGAGGAAGGCTCTGAAATGCCTCAATACTGTCTCCTGGCTCCAGGACTAAGGTGAAGCAGTCTGTCCTGGAGTGCAATTACCCTGTGGCTGGAGGTAATCCCAGCCAGCTCCTCCTGAGGAAGGGTTTGGGGCTGGCACCTCTGCCCCCACGCAAGGAGCCATGGCAGCCCTTGCGCATCTCCCAAAGGCTCCTCCCAGCCACGCAGGGAACACCAAGATGTCTGCTGCAGCACGCACTGGCATACCCCTGGGACAGCCATTTGGCTGATAAATAGCTTTTGGAAGAAAAACTTTCTGAACCTTCTCCTCCTAAATCTGCAGCATGCATCAGCTGCTTGACACAGTGAGTCCTGGAGCGTGTCAGAGCCATGCTGGGGTGATGGAGGTGCACGGGAATTGCAGCAGCTCTGGCTGGGGCTGGCAGGGCCCCACCACTGCCTCTCATCCCTTGCTGGAGCCACATCCACCAGAGTTACAGAGCCCCTTCTCCCTCTCCAGAGACTTCAGTGCAGCCATGAGTGCTGGGTTGCATAATGGGCTGAAGACCTGGGGTCTGAAAAAAGGTGGATTCAGCTTTCCAGGGCTGATTTCTGCAGTACATGCATCTCATCCACACCAGCGAGCAGCTGCAGTGGGCATAGTGGCTGCTTCACTTGGGTGCTGGAGTGCAGGAGCCTCCTCAAAGGAAGCTGCCGGCTAACTCAGCCCCACCAGAACACCCAGCACACGAGTGCTCAGAGAGAATTTTTGCATCTCACTGCTCCGAGTCACTACCCAGATAACAGGGTAATCGCGCTTGGAGCTGTGCGGGGCTGTGCTGAAAGGGGAACAACAAACACCAGGACTAACTGGCCCAGAACGGAAATGCAATAAATGAGAAGGGCCTCTTCTGCCAATCCTCCCCCAGACACAGTCCCTGTTGTGTCCCCAGTGAAGCACGGGGTCATTCCAAGCTTCACTCCAACGTTGTGTAACCCAGGGAAGGAGGAAAGAGGCATTTCTGTACGTCTGCATTGACTGGAAGGTGCTAAGGGCAGAGATTATCTCCGGGGAGGCACTTGGGAAGCGTTCAACATCATCCAAATCACTTACACACTATCAAACCACTGGCTGCCGGGAGGAGAGCAGATCTGTAAGCAGCAGGCAGCGGTGGGGTTTACAGAGATTACTTTTTAAGACAAAATTACAAAGCAATGGACTCTGGGGATGGCAGATGTTTGGATTTTAGCACAGCACTTAAGAACTGAACACAAACTATTTTTTCAGACTGCTGTGGACTAAAAACCCCCTCACCTGGGCCAAAAACTGGCTGAAAGGCCATAAAAATCAGGTTGTACTAAATGGGAAAAGATGGAGTTAGAGAGACCTCAGTCTGCATACAGCCCCTCCAGCGCAGCGGGCTGTCTGCAGGGCTCAGTTGTCTGCGCAAGCCAGTACAGTTCCAGGAAAAATCCCTCGGAAAGCAAAGGTGGGCTTGCAACTCCTCATTGTCTCGTCCAAGTGCAAGGTGTGCTCTGAGCTACATCTCTGCTGCCAAGGGAGAGGAACATCTCTCCAGGAGCAGCCCCGAGGAAGCTCTGCCCTGCCAGGGACTGGGCAGAGGAGGCAGCCTGGGAAAGTGCTGCTGTGCCGAGCCCAGCCAAGACCCTGCAGGGAAGGGAAATGCCCTGGGACAGTGACATGGTCACATTTTTTTTGACACCTTCATTAACAACCCAGAGAAACGGGGACTGGCAGAGGGATGAAAGGCAAAAATAAACCTGCTTTGGTGTCAGGAAATGTAATTGGTAGCATGTCTTCTGGGAAAGCGAGGAAGAGAGCACCTTGGCTTTGGGTATTCAAGCAGAGCATGAGGACAATTATGAGCTTCTGTAAGATGGGCAAGGATCTCTTGCAGATATGCCTGGGAAGTTCTCAGACACCGACAAGTACTTTCAACTTCTCCAGACAGGGAAAGAAGGAAAATTGCACGAGTTACACAAGGCTTGAAAGGAAGAGAGAGGCACTGAGGTCTTCGCTGGTACCAGGCTACTCGGGAACGGGTGAGCCATTTCTGGCTGTAGGCTTCATCACTGAGATGAGGGCACTTCTTTGGAGAACTTTAACCATCAGTAAAGGCAGTACGGAAATCCACAAAATGCAAACTACTGACAGGCCTTTAAAGCAGGAGAAGTGCTTGTTAGGCATGGATTATTCCCAGGAGCAAAGGCTGCAGCTTTGCTGATATCTACAATGACTCAGTGCACTTGACTTTTTAGAAAAAAAACCCCAACCCTGAACAGTCACAACTCTCCAAACTCCGAAAAAGCCAGCAGCAGCTGCAGAGAGCTCCAGCGCTGACAAGTACCTCCCCAGGCAGCAGCACAGTGCACAGGCAGCCGGACCAAGCCAGCCCTGAGAACTGCGGCATCCAAGTCCTCCTTTCCTGGTGCCGACGAGGTCCAAGTGCCAAAGAACATACCAGGGGTCTCTGGCAGCCACGGCTCTGCGGAGGGAGACGACACGTAGGTCATGGACAAGCTATTCAGCTCTAGCACAGGCTGGCAGATCTTCCAGTGAGCTCTGGGTATTATGCAGCACCAGAGCTGGCCCAGAAGCCTAGGAGATGTCAGCGTGTCCACCATGGGCACAGACGATGCCATTTCTCCTAATACAGGAGAGAACAGATATGGGCAGTCGCATGCAGAGCTGACTCATTGTGCTCCCCAGTTTGATGGCACTGTCTCTGTAGACAAACAATCTGCAGGAACTTGAGAAGAGGCAGCCAAGGAAAAAAGGGATCTAGCAATTAGAATAATAGAATCATAGAATGGTTAGAGTTGGAAGGGACCTCAAAGATCATCTAGTTCCAACCCCCCTGCCATGGGCAGGGAAACCCTCCACTACACCAGGTTGCTCAAAGCCTCATCCAACCTGGCCTTGAACACTGCCAGGGATGAGGCATCTACAACTTCTCTGGACAACCTGTTCCAGTGCCTCACCACTCTCTGAGTGAAAAATTTCTTCCTTATATCTAATCTAAATCTACCGGTTTCAGTTTAAATCCATTGCCCCTTGTCCTATCATTACACGCCCTTGTAAAAAGTCCCTCTCCAGCTTTCCTGTATTAAATCCTAGATGAGACATACATCTCAGAGGAAAGGCCATGTACTGCCACTTTGGGTGCCCTATTACACTATACAAAGCTGAGGCCAGTTCTCATCCTTCTGTTCACGCTGCCTTGTTTTCAAAAACCCCATTTGAATACACTCTAGAAACCTGGGATGGGATTAGTGCACTTTGCAAAGGGAGGTGTGATCGTATCACTCTGGAGGTGGCCAAACTGGAGCATGGTGCAGAAGGAATCATAGAATCATAGAATGGTTTGAGTTTGAAGGGACCTCAAAGATCATTTAGTTCCAACCCCTTGCCATGGGCAGGGACACCCTCCACTACACCAGGCTGCTCAAAGCCTCATCCAGCCTGGCCTCGAACACTTCCAGGGATGGGGCATCTACAACTTCTCTGGGCAACCTGTTCCAGTGCCTCACCACCCTCAGAGTGAAAAATTTCTTTCTTATATCTAATCTAAATCTACTCTCTTTCAGTTTAAAGCCATTAAGGAGGACCCGGACTAGGGCTGGGCAGGAGTTTGTGCCAGTGTGAGGAAATGTGCCACCCCAATTCCCGACCCCTATCCGTGGCTGGATCTGTAGCATGAGACTCGAGACACAAAGACAAGAGCTGGGAACAGTACACCAAAAAAAGCTGCTGCCAAAGGGTCTACTGAAGCAGGGCTGAGCAGAGCTGCCAGCCAGAAATGCCCTTGTTCTTGGGCAGGCTGCAAGGCCAGGGTGCACGTAGCCCTCCTGGAGAAGGGCAGTGCCAGGCACCTGGGTGCTTGGGCAAACCCGGGGCTACGTGTCTCTGTCCCATCACCCCTGGGACTTGTGCTGCCTTTAAAAGGTTTTCTGGAAAGACCCACAATCTGCTGCATGGGATCATGAGCATCATCCCATATTTAATGAAGGCAGTGCACTGGCTCCTGGGCAGCTGGTTTCATTTACCTTCCCTTTCATTTTAAAGAGAAACCTTTGCCCCTATTATCTGACCTCTTCTTCTGTTGCAGTTAATTACATTAAAGCCCACTTCCCAAAGCTCAGGAATTTCCGGATCTACTTTGTTGCCTGCTGCTACGGGGAGAGTCTGCTAAGAATTAGGGCACCCGCCTGCCGGGGATGCCGAGCGGGACAGATCCCCGCCATCAGCATGACAACCCGCCGTCACCGCGGCTGTGAAACCCAGACACCTCTGCCGACAGCAGCGGCCCTGTCCCTGAGCATCTTCCCAAGGAGAGGGCAGAGCCCTCATCTGCAGCAAGGGACACAGTCAGCCTCTCTGCTCCCCCGGAGAGGAGAGGTGGCATATCACCTGCTCCCTCCAGGTACAGACCTGCGGGCACAAGGGAGAGGTGCTGCTCACCTCCAGTCAACAAATAAATGCACTGATGAAAAGCAATGACCGGGGGCTGCTCCCTGACCCTAAAAGCACAACTCGCACCCATGCCTTTCTCTGCCCCTAGATGAGGTGCCTCTGTCTGTCCCGCCGGTGGGAGCCATCTCTGGCCTATGCCATCTCCCCAGCCATGCCCTGGTGTCAGCTGTGACTGTGCTGGTGGCCAGGGCCACGATGCTGCCAAGGACTGTGCCCTCCATCAGACAGCGCAGAGGATGGCAAAGCTGTGCCCTGGCCAGGTTTATTTACAAGTGGAGACGGTCCAGTGATTCCTTCAGGCAACTCCTTCCTCCAGGCACAGCCTCAGAGAACACCGTGCTCTGAGTGCTCACAGCAGGCTCATGCAAGCCAAATACCTTCCCTTGGCACCTTTGGGAAATCTGTCCCTTGCAGCTACTGCCTCATGAGCAACTGCCTGCACACTCGACATGACTAAGCCAGAGGAGATGTCACCCAAATCAAGCCCAGCAAATAGATTTTAAGCAGTATCCCCCGCATGCCCTGTGCGCCTGGCATCTCTGGTTTGCCACACAGGGCAAGTGAGTTTCCATCTTGGAAGATAACGTGGCATTCTCCAAGGAGCCAAAAGGATAGGTGTCCACTGGCTTTGAAGAGGCAAACGTTTGCTTTCCCCGTAATTAACAGGGATTTGTGCTTCAGAGGCAGTATCAGTTAAGGATTTGCCCATTAAATATGCAAAACTGGGAGTTTTGCACAACACTTTGGACGGAAAACCAGCTGTGTGGAGCATGTCTGAGGATGGGACATGGCTGCAGGTTTAAGCGAGCAATGAACCTTCACCACGCACGAGGACACCAGCACTGAGCAGAGATGCCTGTGGGGGGAGGTTTCTGAGCAGTGGAAACCCGCGTCCAAAGACTTGAGGGGGTCTGCAATAAACCGAGCATTTACTCATCACCAAACTTAACAAACGAACTAAATTATCAGGGAAATGCCAAAAGTCTCGGAGCCACTGTCAGTCCCACCTGCCACACCCTCCTTTAGTGGAAATTCCCTGGGCGTTTCGAAGCCATTCACACATCCCTCTCCAGCAACACTAGTTCTGAAGGAGGCACGCATGCTGAGTTACATATGTAAGTGAAACTATACTCTGAAAAGGCTGGCGAGGTTGCTCATTTCCACCCAGTGTTACTTTTTCTGTCAGCTATATTTCAGATATATTCTGTTTTCACACAGAGAACAGAGACCCCTGCAATGTATTCCCTTCTCAATTCCTTTTCTGGATCGAGCACAACCTTTTCAAAGGAATAATAGATTTGACAAATTCATAACCAGTATCCCGGGAGAACATTAGGGTTTGGAACAGAGATGTTCATACTTGAAGTTAGACAGCAGTTTAGTTTCCTGCTAATAATTTTCTTCTTGGATACATAGGAACTTGTTTTGTTTTGTTTTGCCGTTTGGAGCAGAGGGATGAGACACTGTTTTGACATTTATTCATAAACAGTACAGAAGCCCAGATTGGAGCTGTGGCCATTGCCAGTCCCCACAAACGCATACGGGTGCGATCTCCAGAGCTGCAAACCCAAGCTGGGGGAGAAGCAATTCCTACGCTGCAGTGCAAAGGGGTCAGCAGGCAGTGACTCCGCAGGCTGCTGCTTGGTGCAGCCGCTCGGCACCAGAGCTGCCGAGCACTTTGCACTGTTCCTAAAAGAAGATGTTTCAAAGCAGCCGTGCGGGCAGATTCCCTGCACACCAGGACGAAACTCCACATCTGAAGCCTGGAAGTTTGTTCCCTCAACTCATCCAAGGGCTTGGCCCAGTCATCAAGCCCCATTGCAGAAAGTGAATTCCGGGACTAAGTAAATGTGATTAGCACATCGTGTAATCATGAAAAGCAAACTCCCAGCTGAAACATAGATCATCATTGCACAGCATGAGCCTGTAAGTAACACAAACCCCGCTCCAAATGCTCTGCTACCCCACTGCCCCCATTGCAGCAAGCTGCTGCTGCCTGGCAGGGAAGCCCCAGGAGCCAAACACCCAAGCAAGCAACACTGCGGCACAGCGAGGCGAGCTAAGCTCCCTGAGGAGGACTTGCTGTATGTTGGTGCTATAAATCACTCTGAGATGCCAACAGTTGCTTCTGCAGGACGCTCCAAGGTTAACGTACAGACAGAGGTTAACACAGAGGCCCTGGGCACACTTGCAAGGAAACCTCATGTCTTAAAACCCACTGAGCTCTTTTTAAGAGCAGGTCTCCAGGTGGGCTTTACAAGAGATGGGCTTTACAAACCATGCTGCTACACTTCAGCAACACAACCTGAGCACCCCATGGAGGGTCACTGCAAAGGACTGGTTTGGGGAGCAAGCCCTGTGGGCAGCACATGCAAGCCCACCTTGGACGTGAGACCCTGGCTCCTGTGCTCAAGGTCAGTGCCTGCCCCCCATAGGAAGTTTAACCCCCTGTCAGAGCAAATCCACTTTTTCTGGAAACAGAGTGGTCTCACCATGGCTTTTGCTCCATTGAATGCCTGTCTCTGAAATACATCCTTTCTGTGGCAGGAGAGAGTCCTTCCTGCCCCATAAACCCTTTTTTCTACCAATTTTAGTGGTTGCTGCTGCGCTTGCACACCACGTCACCTTTGCACTGGCATTTGCACTCCCACTGCCGAGAGCCACAGCCTGCCAGGCAGCCTACCTCTGGCCATAGTGTGAAACTGGGGCAGTTGGAAAAAAGAGGAGGAAAAAGATATTTATGGATTTTCCCCCAAATAAGAAATCCTTTCCCTCCACTTGCTGTTTGTCATACCCAGTGCTACAGCTCAGAGCTTGCTTTGCCTCTTCTGAACTGCAGCACATGTAGGAACTGGAGGAAATCAGGTATCAGCATATCTCCGGCAGCCCCAGCTGGGCCTGGATCTTGGATGTTGACCCCCTTTCCATCCACATCTGCTCCTGGGGCTCCATCTGCAGCATAGGACAGTGGCATGTCTACAGACATCCGAGACTCACAAAACGAAGTGGGGACTGGGGCATTAGGCATTTTCCATCGGACCAAGCTGCCTCTCCTTTCTCTGGGCCAAAACAGCTTAGCTTCAGGCCAGCGGTTGAAGGAACGCAGTAGTTGGGGTGAAAGGGAAAGGGCTTTCAGATAGTCCCATGCACCTGTCACACACGGCTTTTGCTTCCCTGTTGTCCCCACCCTGGCAGCTGCCTCCGGGGACTCTGTGGTCCAGCGCAGGGCTTTGTTCCCAGCAATGAGGCAGGGCAGGCAGGCAGTGGTATTTTAAGCCTCTGTCTCATCCGCAGTGGTAAAGGTTAATACATCCCCTCCTGTATTTGTTCGAGAGGCTCCAGAAGGAGGGGCAGAGCGTCTTTCAACTACTTATATGCCACAGAAGGACAGAGGAGGTGGCTGTCACACGTCTGCCCCCGCTTCACACCCAGACAGCGCATCAGCTCTGCTCCCAGCGTCATCTGATCACTGCAATTAGTGTTGGAAAGTAGAAGGAATGGTGAATACCTACTGTTGCCAGGTAACGGCATCCACCGTGCTGCCAGCCACTTTCATGAACCTATAGGAAACAGAGCAAGAAACCATATAAGCCCAATGTTGTCACAGGGAAAGTCCTAAAAACAACCAATGTCCATCCTACATCACAGGATACCAGAGGCGGTCACTGCACTCACAGACCCTTTCTAATGAAACCTTTGCATCCTTTAATGGAAGGAATAAATCATACTGAATACAAATGCTTGTACCACGCACAGCTGAGAATAACGGAGTGACATCCAACAGGCAGCAGAGCTCTGAGCATCATTTTGGGGTAGGTAGGGAGAGCTTTTGGAGCACAACAGCATTTCAGGAACAAGATCTTGGGATATGCCCTTAGTTTTATGACTGCAACAACTCTCAATAGCAATTAAAGTTTTAAATGCCCATCTTAGAAGAAGACATTTCTTCACCCAACACCCAAGCTGAGGAACTCCTTGGCCGGATTCAAGCAAGGGCTGAAAAACTGAAAGAAAATGGAAATAAAAACCAGCAAAGCTGTGAGATGCAAAGATGTCACCTCCAGCTCAGGAAGCCTCTGAGCATTGGAGGAACAGCTGGACAAATACTACCACATGCTTCCCTTTTTTTGATGCTCTTTCTTTGGCACCAACTGTTAGCAGCCTGATGGGATTCTGACCTGGATGTGCTTTTGATTTGTCCCATTCCTATGAACAACGACAGCACTTCCATGCACAAGGTTACAGCGAGTTATATAAACATACTAGTCTTCTGGTGGCTTACGACCCAACTATCTTAAAGACAATACACCTCCTCCAGACAGCTCCTATTTGAGTCAGACTTGAGGCTACCCAGGTGTATCTGCTTATGCTGCTGATGCCAAAACCAAAGCAGTTCCTAATCTTGGAGACTGTTTGTGACCGCCACAGCAGCAGCCTCTGGCACAGGCTTGCTGCCACCCAAGACAATCCCTTCTCTGGCTCCCTGGTCCAGCATTCCCAACTGCACCTTGGAAAACTGTGGCTCCTGGGAGGAAGCCCAAGCAGTTATTTTATTCTTATGCTTAGGAGCAGAGATATGAAAACACACAAAGCCACACACCAGCTGTGGACAGGCACGCTTTTCTGCTCAGCGCTGTAACGTGCGCTGCATAGCTGATGCATTTTGGAAGTGATAATGTATGCACATGACAGGAGACATTGGCTTGAGCAAGTGAACGTGATGAGAAAGAAACTGATAATGTATTGTCTTGGGCTGCTCTTTGATGCACTGGAATCCCGGGAACACAACAGGAATCACACAGCTGTCCTGACTCCATCAGGACACAGGGATGAGTGGTGGCACTGGGTCCTGCGACCCCAGCTCCCCCAGGACAGCCCTGTGACCGAGGCTGGAAAAGAAAGGGAAAGGTTTGCGAGGAGAGACGAGACCTTTTATCAGATCAGTTGTCATGGCAGGGAAGAACAGCAAGCTTTCCGGCACACGAGCCTCTAATCAGGTCTGAAACAAGAGCAGCAAACTTCAGGCTAAATATAGCTCAGAAACAATCATTCTGACTTTAAATTAATGACAATAGTCAATTATAGACTGGGACAAAAGGGCAGCTGGACCCTGTGAAGCATAGGAAGGCACTGGCAAAGGCAGCAGTAATAAATCCCTGTGGACAGAGGGAAGAGATACAATTAGAAATGGAAAATCAGTAACATGCTGTAAAACCCCGTAGCACTGATGCATCCCTGATCTGCTGCCTGGCAGTGCTGTGAGCTTCAGTTCCCAGGCTCGCCTTTCAGAAATGCTTTTACATCTCTGCTGGGGGTCAGGCCCGGGAGGCAGTGGTTTGGGGATGGTTCCATCCCAGCTGAGCAGGGCGAGGAGACCAGCTGGACCAGCTGTGGTTGCAGTCAGGAGGAGAGGTGCAAGCTCCCCGCAACTCACACGGGTCACCTGGCCAAAAGGGGATTTTGCAAATATTGTTCCACAAAACTAAGTTTGCGGAAATACACCAAAAGGACCAAAAAACCCAACTCCCAGGTTTTGAATGCTCAGTACAGGGACTGCTGCCTAAAACATAATGCATGGAGTGTATGAGAGTGAACTAATGAACTCTAAACTGAAATTATGAACACAATCTATATTGGGTTTGAAGATCAATATATTGCAATTGGGTCTGAAGATTAGTTCAGCTTGCTTCTAACCTCAAATGCTTTATCTTCTGGCTGCAAAATAAACCATCCTGACTTCACTAAGTCACCTCTTCAGTGGCACTCCCCACTCACAGTCCAAAACCATGAGCAGATTGAGCTCAGAGGAAGAAGCTCTCCAATTTTCCTCACCACTTCCACAGTGCCTATGGCTCTGCTGCAAACACACCTGCTACAGTGGACTTTGAGCAGGGACTGAAAAGCAAAGCAAACCCTCAGTATAACCTCCAGCATCCCTGGAGCAGCAGAAGCAGGACATCTGTCTGTCCCATCTCTCGTGTCTCTAGGAAGCTAATTGACCTATTGTTAAAAACCTCCTGAGAAAACATTGTTCTAGGACACAGGCATCACTTGGGCAGTGCAGTACAGACCAAAAGCAGAACAGAAAAGGCCCTGGCTTGTTTAGTGTTCCTCTCTGTCTCCATAAGAGTGAAATAAATTGGTCAGTTCTAGTAATTTTCAAATTTTACCATAAAAGATGCATATCTAGCTCGAATTTTGCTTTCCATATCTGTTTTTTCTATCCTATTTTTTTTTTTTTCTTTCTTTTTCCTTTTATTGAGGTTTTTGCAGGATAAAGTTCAAAAGCTCCTGGTAAAACTTCGAGTTCTGCCTTAACAGTGGAGCTGTATCTGGAGCACCCCAGATGACTTGGGCAATGGTCTCTATGCTCCAAAAGGGGACCTAGAGCAGCTCAACAGCCAACAAGTGGTACTGCACGAGCAAGAGATGAAAGCCCAGGGCAGGTGGAAAAGCAGTGATGCATAGGTATCTGAATATCCTCAGCTTAGGAATACAGATGTTACTAATCTCTTTATTCCTGCAGCACCTGCGCTGCTCAAACCACAGATTCTGAGGTCAGAGAAGATCCATACGGTCCAAATGACCAGCACTGGCACATTTTTATCTGGGATTTCCTGGACTGCATGATGTCCATGTGTGCAGTGCGGCGCAGGCAGAGCAAACCAGACGCTTCCGGGAGAGCTCAGATCCCTGCACATGTGCTGCACAGATGGGCTGGGCTGGTGCAGTAAATCTGCCATTTTTCCTACACATTGGGCTTTCTCTGTGAGCACCAATCGACCGCACAGTGCATGTGCAGTAAATCGCCCCCGGGAGCAGCGGGACAAGCCTGGCCCGCGCTATGCAGGCAATGTGGGCAACTACTGCAGCAATGGCCTGTAATTCAGATGGGTGGCAGCCCCAGGGCATGCCCATGTGTTATCCCTGGCCAGGCTTCCACAAATCAGAAACCTGGGCAAATGTAAAACTCCTCAAAATCTGCTGGGGCAGCATCTCCAGGTGGGGAAACAGAACATATCAGAGGCGCGTGGAGGAACAGGAGCCTTGCGCAGGGAGTTTGTGATACTGAGGATGAGGCAAAGCCACTGAGCTCAGATATGTCCATCTCCTTACCCTTGCAGCTGCCTGTATGCCAGCATCCCATGCCAGCCCTACTACGTGTGGGGCTCTGCCTTGAGCTAGAACTGAGGCTCAAGATTGTTTTAAAATGAGCACTAAAAAAAATGCAATTTAACACTGCTCAGTCACCCAGACAGTTCATGGTTCTGCCCCAGAATACTGGCACAAGGTGGCACAGCACCTCGCAGTTCAGGAACAAGCTGTGGGAGAACAGTGCAGGAGGGCTGCAACACCACGAGATGGTACTGACACCAAAACTCTATAATGTGAAACCATGGCTCAAATCTGGCCTCTCCCAGAGCATCTCCCACAGCCACATCTCCGAGGACCGCAATTTTCACTTGAGTGTGGGCACGTCTCCGAAATAGATCTCTGGTCCTGATTCAATACTTGCCAGTCATGGAGCACTTACTGTAACCTTACGGAAATTGCTCCCATGGTTAATTAGCCTCCAAGTATGTTATTTCTCATCTGAATGTGTCTGGCTTCAACTTCCAGTCACTGGAACTTCCTAGGCTTATTCCTGATACATTAAAGAGCCATTTGCATTTGGAAATCTCTTTCCCATGCAGGTAATTGCAGATTGTCATCCTTTAAATAATAATAATAAAAAAGTGATCCTGCAACACAGAACGCAGCTGCACAAGGAAACACGTTACCATCGCACAGACTCCCAGGTGGTTTAGCGTCATCATCCAACTCCTGGGTGCCGGACTTCTCAAACACGGGTTATTTCACCTGCTACTCCCTGGAGTACTACTAAAGCAAACTGTTCCCCCCCAAGCCCCAAATGTAGAAACAATGCTGGCCTACCTGTGGTGCTGTGGTGGATCCCTAGAGCTGGGTGGCAGATCTCTGCCCTTTCAGCCAACAGTGATGGGTATAAACAGCTTTGTCTGTGTCTGAATAGGTTGGTGAGGGGGACTAAGGCACAGGATTCGCTTACTAACTTCTTCAGGTTCCAGAAGCACAATCAAATACCCGCAGCAGCAGAGACAGGTACTAGATCCAGCTCATGCCACCTGATGCAAAGACTTTGACCTGCAGTGCCAGATTTCAGACAGGGATTTCACTCCGGGAAGCAGAGCCTGGTGGGAACTACGTATACATTTGCTGCTATATTGTATTCTCTTTCTGCTCAGCATCGCCTTTCTTCAACCAACCTGGTCTACGGTAGGGCTGCACAAGCCTTCTAGCAAAGAGGGCTTTATCTTCCAGGCTACTTCACCCAGCCTTGGCAATTTGCACTCCAGAGACTCTGGAGGTTGCAGTTGGACCATGATATTGTATCACCACTGATGCGTTTTCCCCACCATTGATTCGTCCAGTTCCTTTCTGAACACGCACCTCTGGCCTCCATAATACTCCGTGACGATGACTTCTACATGCTATGTGAAAAAGCTTCCTCCTTCTTTCCAAAGCTTCCTTACAAACTACC